GCATGTGGTGTACAAACTTATGCAGGCAAAGCATCCGTACATATAAAATTAAAATAATAGTGTTTAAAAGTCTCCTGTGGGCCGGGCGTTGGTGGCACACGCCTTTAATCCCAGCACTCGGGAGGCAGAGCCAGGCAGATCTCTGTGAGTTTGAGGCGAGCCTGGGCTACCAAGTGAGCTCTAGGAAAGGCACAAAGCTACACAGAGAAACCCTGTCTCGAAAAACCAAAAAAAAAAAAAAAAAGTCTCCTGTGTTCCTAGAAAGTTTTTTTTAATGCAAAGGGAAGCACAAAGCCTGATGTAAAAGCTGAAGCAAGTTGTCTAGAAAATGAAGCTAAGATTCTTGATGAGGGCGGCTATATTAAACTAATTATCAGGCTGGGATGTAGCTCGGTTACCAGAAAGTATGTATGAATGTAAGAGGCTGGGTTCCATTCACAGAGCTGAATAGACCAGACATGGCAGTGCATACTCATATTCCTAGTACTCGGGAGGCTGAGACAGAAGTTCAGGGTCACTTTTGCTTACATAGAGAGGTAGTGTCTAAAACAGTCTGAGACCCTGTCTTTTTTTTTTTTTTTTTTTTTTTTTTTTCCGAGACAGGGTTTCTCTGTGTAGCTTTGCACCTTTCCTGGAACTCACTTTGGAGACCAGGCTGGCCTCGAACTCACAGAGATCCGCCTGGCTCTGCCTCCCAAGTGCTGGGATTAAAGGCGTGCACCACCACCGCCTGGGGAGACCCTGTCTTAAGCAAACAACAAAGCGATTATCAGCGTACAGGAAACAGACTTTCAATGGGAAAGGATGCTATCTAGGACTTCAGCATGTAGAAAGAAGTCAATGCCTACTTCAAAGGACAGGCTGACTCTCCTCTTGGGAGCCAATGGGACTGGTGGCTAAGGAAGAAAGCAATGTTTATTTCCCGTTCAAAACCTCCTAGGGCGCCTCATCATTTTCTTAAATCTCTGTGTTCTATAAATGGAAAAACAAAGCTTGGGTATCTGTACATCTGGTTACAACATGCTGTACTCCATACTTTAAGAGCTTTTCAGAACTACTGATCAGAAGACAAAAAGTCTTTTAAAATAATATTGCTCATCGACAATTCCTGTGGTTACCCAAGTGCTCCAATGGAGACCTACAAGATTATGTTGTTTTCATGTCTTTGAAAAAGACATCTCATCTTCAGCCCATGGGTAATACAGTAATTTAACTTTCAAGTTGTATTTAGGACACATAAAACTCTTGTGGCATAGACAGTGATTCCACAGCACCTTTTCTTAAGGATCTGGACAAAGTAAAATGAAACACGCTGGGATTTGCCATTCCAGAAACCATCAATAGCACTCATGAGCTGGACATGGTGGCCCACGCCTGCAACCCTAACTAACACTCAGGAGGCTGAACCTGGAGTGTATCCTTGAGTTCGAATCCAGCCCAGACTATAGTGCAAGATGAGAGAGGGTCGGGGAGCAGGGAGAGAGGGGGAGAAACAAAATTTTCCGGAGCTGGGGTATGGTTGCACATGGCTGCAATACTAATACTCGGCAATGTTGAATACTTGAGGCAGAACACTGAGGTTGAGGCCAGCCTCTGTGACCTTTTGCGTTCCAGGCCTTTCTGGACTGCACAATAAGTAGTGAAGAAAGTAGAAAAGGAAAACAACCGAAGAGAACTCTGAAGGGGCAAACGCTGAGTGATGGAGATCAGAAGGAGCTTGTGAAACAGGCCCTGGTCTTCCTGGATGAATTGTTTTCATTCCTGTCGGGAAGTCTTGTTTGAAGTTTGTAGTGATAGAGATTTGAGGGCCCTGCACATGCTAGCAAAGATCTACCACCATGCTATATTCTCAGTTCTTATCATTTTGAGACACTATGTAGCTCAGGCTGGCCTTGAACTCACCATGCAACCCATCCTATCTCTGGCTCTGAAGTGTGGGGATTACAAGTACGAACCACACAGTTTGCTCTCAGGAAGCTTTCCGAAGCTGAATTTATTAGGATCGGACAGAGTTTCTCAGTCTCATCACCACTGACATCTGGGGTCACACTCTTTTTCTGTTGTGGGGGGGAAGTTCCCCTCCGCTTTGTCTACTAGATGCCAGGACCCTGCCTTCAAGTTGAAACAACCACAAGACATCTTCAGGCCTGGCTGTCAGGCTTTGATCAGAAGTGCACCCTGGACACCACCACAAGCTTGAGCTCCTGTTCCGAATATTCAGTCCCCAGCTTGCAGCACAGTTTTAAGGGTTGTAGAGGCTTTGACGGGGTGGGCTTGGTGGTGGGACAGGTGACTAAGAACAGGCCTTTGAAGCCGATACCAAGCCCTGGTTCTGGCCTGTGTTCTCATTTCCTGTCAGCCGCCTCACAGACCCTTGGCCAGAGCCTCCCCTGTGCCTTCCCCACCATGATGGACTGATATTGTGAGTCAAAAGAAACATCTTCCTCAGCTGCTTCTGTCAGATATTTGCCGAATGGCCACTGGAGACAAAATCACCCCTCCATTAGAACCATAGGAGACAGGGGGAATAAAAGAAGCCTTAAAGATAAATATAATTACTTGAAAATATCAATGTATTACTTCCTAAACCATTAATACCTACAGAAAAATTAAGAATTCCCCTGCCTTATAAGAAAGCTATCCTAGCTATCTAGAGGAGCAAGGCAGGAGGATTGATTGAGCACAATAGTTTAACAGTAGCCTAAGAACCGTAGCAACCCTGTGATTTATGTATATGAGTGGTATGCCGGCATGTATGTCTGTGCGCCATATGTGCCTAGTGCCCAAGGAGGCCTGAAAAAGGTGTCAGATGCCCTGGACCTGGAGTTACAGATGGTTCTGAGCCTCTGTGTAGATGCATAGAAGCCAACCCAGGTTCTCTGGGAGAGCACTCGGTACTTTTAACCACTGAGCCATCTCTCCAACCCCGAGGACCCTGTGTATTTGAGAGAGAGAGAGAGAGAGAGAGAGAGAGAGAGAGAGAGAGAGAGAGAGAGAGAGAGAGAGAGAGAGAGAGAAAGAGAGTATTCAGGGGCTGGAGGGATGGCTTAGTGGTTAAAGGTTGGGAGGACCTGCTGGTCAGAGGTTGAAGTCTACCAAAGCTTGGCAGCTCTCTCTGAGCTTGGCAACATGGAGGTTTCCCCCCACCCCCCACCCCCTGTCCCACCCCTACTCCCACCTTGGCAGAGGGCTTCCTGCTCTCTACCTGACTTTACTTGGAGACTGTCTCTAGGGTCAGATGCATGACTTACCTGTGTGACCCTTGACATAGTTCCCTGTAGCTTTCCCCTGCTACCCATATGGTAATCAGACATCATGTTGGGAGCTTTGCTGTAGGCCCCTGCTGCTACATACGGAGCCTCACAATAGTGCTGTTTAATGCAATTTAGGTGGTGCCCAGCCATTGTCCCCTCACTTGGGAATAAAGCTGAGCTACAACACTGAAGTAGTCTCCCAGAAGGCTATTTCCACTGTACCATTGACCTCATGGCCCAGTAGCCAATGGACCCACAGTTAAAAGCACTGGCTGCTTTTCCAGAGGAATCACCCACGTGGTAGCTAACAACTATAACTCCAGTTCCAGGAAATCTGACATCATCTTCTGGCCCCCAGAGGCACTGCAGACATGTGGAGCCTAGACATACATGTAGGCAAAACACCCATATACCAATAATATTTTTTTTTCAAATGTAAATGATTTGTACTGGGAGTACTGGACTCAATCCTATAATCCCAGCATTTGAGATGATGAAGCAGGAGAATTGCTTTAGGTTTGAGACCAACCTAGACTACAAAGTGAGTTTAAGACCAGCCTGCACTAAAATGTGAGAAGGGACTTGTTTACAAAAAAATATTATTTGGGACTGGGGATGGGCTCAGTGGTAGAGTTCAAGCTTACCATGCCTTGGACCTGGGTTCAACCATAAGCACTAAAATATAAATAATAAAAATACCCTCCTCAAAACAACATCAACAAAAAATCAAAAACCAAATTTATGTGTTCTATGAGGATTAATGACATTTCTTTCTCTACCTCTTTTTTTTCTTTTGGTTTTGGTTTTTCGTTTATTTGTATGTTTAGACCAAGCTAGAACTTGGGGCAACCCTCCTGACTCCCAAGTTCTACACCACCATACTTTGCTTTATTGGCCTTTCTCCACATTAACAAAGTACATTTTAAAAGTATTGAAAAGGGTCAGCTATTAAGCCAGGTGTGGTGGTGCATGCCTTTAATTCAGGAGGCAGAGTCAAGTGAATTTTGAGGATAGCCTGGTCTACATAGTGAGCTCCAGGACAGCCAGGGCTACAGAGAGAGACCCTGTCTCAAAAAAAGACTGTTATTCTACTTGTTCTTTTCCTTTTGATTATAGCAAGGGCATTTTAAAAAAGGATTTATTGTTTTTATTTTATGCATGTTGTTGGTTACGCTGCAGCACTTGGGCTGGCCGCCATGCTGGCGGAGGAGAGTGCTGGATGTATTGGTGACAGGAAGAGTCACGAGCCATGGTTACCTTTCTAGAGCTTTACTGGGAGAGGGAGAGAGAGAGAGAGAGAGAGAGAGAGAGAGAGAGAGAGAGAGAGAGAGAGAGAAGAGGAGAGGAGAGGAGAGGAGAGGAGAGGAGAGAGAGAGAGAGAGAAGAAGGAGAAGAAGGAGGAGAGGGAGAGGGACCATGCGGAGTGGGGGGTACGGAAGGAGAGAGTACAGAAAAGAGAATGCACAGAGGACAGAGGGCACACCCACTTTTTAGGCTGGGACACCGTCGCAGGCTGGTTACTTATTTAAGTACATAATCCTTACATCCCAGACTTTCACTTATTATAAAAAAAAAAAAAGCAGGTAGATGGGAATAGGGGAGTTGTTCCTCTCAAAAATTCCTTCAGCTGACTTTTGGACGTCGGTTGGCTCTTGGGGGAATGGAAAGGGGAGTCTTCCGAGGTAGACAGGTGATGTGGGATGCTGTCTGTCATCTGTTTGCTCTGGAGACATGTATCCCTCTTGGCTGTGGCTGGGAACTTTCTGTTTGACAAGATGCTGGCGACACAGAAAAACTTAAGAGAGAGAAAAGAATCATTATTATTTTATGTTGACATTTATCTGAGGTAGATCTGGCCTATCCCTGTGGATTTTGAAACATGTTAAGCTTTATCAGAGACAGATTATTTTAAAGCACCTGTTTCCTTTACTAGTTCGGCATCCAGGAGACAGGTGTTCAATTGTTAAAAGCATCTCACAGTAATAGATGTTTATATTAAAGTCTTTTTTGTAGCGCCCAGATGCTTTTGGGTCTGGGGGTGCAAATACCTTTTAGCTGTTACAGTTTCTTACTTGATGGTCTCTGGACTCCGGTTCCATGGTGGTCCTGTATCATTGGCTGAACAGTGAGTTAGAACAGGGGACTGGAGCTGGGCGGTGGTGGCGCACACCTTTAATCCCAGCACTCGGGAGGCAGAGCCAGGCGGATCTCTGTGAGTTTGAGGCCAGCCTGGGCTACCAA